TCATTACAAATATTTAGATAATTCTTGAGCATCAGGATATTATTTCTAATATAAAAGTGCGTAATTTGTTAGAAAATGAAGAATTTTTTACTATATGTCAGCATATTCGTTCAATTTAGGCTCCTATTAAAGAATGTATTAATATACTGGAATCAAATACCGCAACCTTAGCTGATTGCTTTATTCATATGATTAAATTAGCAATAGCAATATATTGGTTACCTAATCTAAATCCATTTAAAATTTCAGCCATACATTTATTTAATGTCTGTTATATTGAATTTCAGTATCCAGCATATTTACTTTATTATTTTATACATCCACAATATAGAGATTTGTATAATTTTATAATTTTTTTTATATATTTAAATTTTATTATTAATATTAATTTATTTAAATAGGTTGTGAATTACACAATAAGAGATTCAGAGATGCTGCTTTAATTGCAACAAAATTATAGCAAAGTCTTGGTTATGATAAGCAAGAAAGTTATGAATTAATTTCTCACTTGCGTTAATTTAAAGCTCATTTGACACCTTATAATCTACCTTATATTGAAAATATGAATACTCCTGAATTATAGTAGAGTTCTATTAAATATAATTTTTATCATTTAGCTGAACTTACACTTTGATTGTTTAGAATAATTTCTTCTTAATCTAGTTATAAGCAGAATTTTTCAATACTTAAATGGTTAATTGGTGATTGAAGAACTAGATTAGCAGTATAAAAACTTGAAAATATGATCAAAATTAGATCATATTATTTAACTAATATTAAATCTGAACTTTTATATTATGGTAAGGAACTAACAAATAATGAATTAAAAGAAGTAGCAAATTATTCATCTATAGGAACAGTAATGACTTTAGAATTTAACGAGGAAGAATTGGTTAATAATTTTATTATTGATGATTCAAATATTACATCTTCTAGAGATACTTTAGTTTTAGAAGATATTATTAATCTCACTTTACCAATTTTTGATATTAATGATAAAGAATTACATAGCAAAGAAAAAGATCAAAATAATATAATTTTACCCTCCAATTTAAAATATAATCCAAAAGATTTGGTTAATTCTTTTCTTCAAGAAAATTTAAATTGATTTTTTAATGGTTATTATATATAATTTTTTTTGGATTGCTTTTAATAAATTTTAAAATAAAAACGAAATTAACATATAAGTATAATATGGTGATATAACATATAGAATATGATATAGCATTTAGTATATTATATGTCATATGACATATAATATAGTATACAGCATATGATACGGCATATAGCATATAAAATTTTAAATGTATATGTTATAACCTTTTTATATCTTATTAATATTATAACTAAAGTTATAACTTATATAAATGTTTGCACCCTTACTATAGTGCAAAAAGTCTATACTCAAAAAAAAATTGGCATAACTATAATTGATAAGGCATATAATTTAAAGCTTTAACTCAAAATTTTATCCAATAAAAATGAAAAGTATAATTAGAATTCAATGTTTATCAGCTAGTTTTTTACATAGATAAATATTTGGTGAGTTATGCGGGCTTAAAGTAATACCAATTTTAATATAAAAATCATAAAATTGAGAATATGAAAATTTGTGTAACTGTATGATTTCAATATTTATTGAACTACTCTGATAATCTCATCGATCAGCATTTATGTTTAAAGTTTTTTTATTGTATATGCCTTTAATGAAAAGTAAGATAATAGCGAAAAAAAGACTACAAAGTCATGTTTGAGATGTTAATACTGGACAACTTGCAAAAGCTGAGGCTTCTGACTCTGACTTTGTCTTTTCTGAAGTTGAAAGTTTTTCAAGTGATTTGTGTAGTGATTTTGAATCATATAATAAAGTTTTAAAATAAACTATAAGCAAACTTAGAAAGCTTGAATTAATTTGGATAAAAAAAAAAGACTAAAAAGCCAGCTTGAAATGTCACAAGCTACAAAATATCACAAATATAGTCCTTTAGGTATATATACGAAAGCTGCGCAAAGTACTAAATTACTTACACAGTACTTTATAATAATAAAAAAAGATGAGGAAAGTATGAATAATGAAAATAAAAACAGAAGTGATAAAGAGGAAATTATGAACGATTCTAATGAAAATGTAAATATTAATGATAATTTGGGTGGTAATGAAAATGTAAATAATGATGTTAATTCATTTGATATTAATAATGTATTATATATTGATTTGGAAGAAATTTTAGATAATAATAATGAATCTAGTTTTAATGATAAAAACTATGTAGAAAAAATTGAAAAGTTAGAAGAAATTTTACAAAGTGATAAAACAAAATTAACAGCACATGATTATTTATAATATTGGATAATACATAGATATTTTGTTTATTTAGATAAGTATAAGTTGCGTAAAATATCAGCAAATATGCGTGTTTTAGAAGAAATTTATAATAAAAGTTCTTATCAAGCAATGCTTATTTGTAAATGAGCAGATTTTTAGCTTGAAAATGAAATTTTGTGTAAAAGAATACAAGGTTGTTATCAAAAAACAAAATTATTTATCGATGATGAGGATGTAATTAATAGCAGCCTTATTTTTATTTGACAAAATGGAGGAAAAACTATACCAAAAAATTATCAAGAATTTATTAATTCAGTTTTTTTTCACAAATGGGAATTGTAGGTAAAAAAGTTTAATTACAATACAAACAGCCTATATTTAGCTCAAAAAAATTGGATTAGTATCACAATCTAGAAAAACAGGGATCTATTTTGATGGTCATGAAAGAGAGGATATATTAAAATATCGTAAAATATTTTTAGAAGAAATGAAAATACTTGAACAATTTATGCCAATATTTATTGGAGATGAGATAATACAAATTAATCCAAAAATTTCCGCTAATCAACAATTACATATGCTTGTAACATATGAGTTAATTGCTAGGAAAATCAGGTTTCAGGAATTTTTTAGCGAAATTAAGATTTTTATTGCATTTTAGTTTTTGATGTTATTAGATTAAAATGTATTAAGCTCTTAATTTTAGTCAAAA